CGGCCAGCTTTGGTGGTTTCCTCCTTGGTGATTCCTTGATTAGAGTATTGGCTGCCGGAGGGGATGTGTTCCAGTCTTTTTAAGGTAGTCAGCGTTTAGATAGGCGAGGATTAACACCAGACAAACGATCAGACAGAAAACAAGACTCTAATCAAGGGACCACCAAGGAGGAAACCAAACCTCCACCAAAACTGGCAGGGCAAGCTACTGAATATAAACAGGCAGCAAACTCCACCCTCCCTCGCACAGACGACGTTCCCTAGTTGGGTCATGAAACGTCTCCAATAGAAGGGAATCTCTGTAGCTCAGGGTTGAACCGTGGAGTCCTTGGTGCTCTCTGAGCTTGGTGGCTGGCTTGCAGACTTTTCATGACCTGACTAGCTCACATCATCCGTGTGAGGGAGTGGGGGTTTGCCCCCTGCTCATCAACAGTTGCTTGCCCTGCCAGTGTGGGTGGGGGTGTGATTTTCTCCTTGTTTAAGGTATTATCCTAATAATAAGGTAATAATAATACCCTAATAAGGTATTATTAGCTCAGAGGGCACCAGGCACTCCACCGGAGGACCCTCCACCAAGCCAGCCAGAATGGGACCAGAGGACTGACCGCAGCTGAAGCCCTCCACCCCTCAGTTCCTTGGAGAAGCCTAATCCATCATCTGTCCAAAAAAACCCTACTGATTTCTTTATCTCCTTCACAACCTCCTCTCTTTTAAGGAGCTCCAGACGGCATGGCCCAGATTGGGTTTTTAATCGCCTTTACAGCAAAGCCACCCTCTCCCCCCTCCACTCCCACCAATCCAACTGGACTTGCTCCGGAGTAAACCAAGCGAGGACGATTCTCCCCGAGATGGAGCTTGCTCCTTTCGGACGAACGGCAGTCGTTCTAAAGGGTTCTGGGGTGCCCCATAGTTCCCAGGGGCTCAGATGGGGGGGAGGAAGGGTCCAGGGCAGAGATGGGGGGGTATTACAGTATTGGTATTTACTTGCTTCCACGATGTCTACCGCTGCCCATCTCACAACCGCGACCCTGTTGAGGCTGTTATCAGAGAAGGTGGGGGGGGCTGAGGGGGGGGGGAACCTGCAGGGGGGGCTGAAAGAGAAACCCTAAGGTCACCCCCTGCCCCAAGCATTTAGCACATCCTGAGACCGACGCAGCCCCCGCTGGAACGGCTCGCTTGCATCTGGAAAAAGGCAACCGCCGGATGCTGACGATTGATAGCAATCAATCAATCAATCAATCAATCAATCAAATAAATAATTGCAAAGAGGCCCGGGAGGGGCCCAAGGGAGACCCTGATCGTCACTCCAGAGAGGAATGAATCCATTGGCTCCCGCCTCCTCTTCCAAGAGCCCCACCGTTTCTTCTACCTGATCCTCCAGCCTTCTCTTCCTTCTCCTCCTCCGCGCCCGGCGCTGCAACAGCGGCCGGAGCGACGCGCAGCGGCGCCAGCAAGAGCCAGCTGCAACACAAGGAACTAGAGCCCGGCAGGAGGCGCCCCCTTATTGGCTGGGAGCACGGCAACCTCGGCTCCGATTGGCTGTCCCGGGAATCAGTTGGTGACATGGCGTTCTGTTCTCCCCGCCTCCTTCTTTGCAGGCGGATGGAGGAGACGGGCGAACCAGCTGTTCGCTTGGCCGTGACGTCTCACCTCGCGGAAGATCCGGGGCCGCCCGGGGAAGACGCGTGTTTGCAGGTCGTGGGAAAGGAGGTCCCAAGGCAGTTTCTTCTGGAATTTGGGATTTTTTTTTTGCAGACGGGAGGACACAGGCAGCCCGTCTAAGAAATAGCATTCCCCTTCTGTTGGCCGCTGGCATAAACACACAGACTGGGTTCACAAGGGGTACCAAGCCCTGGTTTGTTCAAGGGTGGTCTATTCCATAATCACCCAACATGCTAAACCACAGGCCATGGTTTACCCGTCACAGGAACTAGGCTCACGCTCCCAGCTATGGTGAACCTCTAAGGAACCCCATTGCGGCTGGGTTTGCAGGACATACACCTCAAGCTAGCTGAAGACGCGGGAGCTATTTATGGCCTGGTTAACAGGCCGTTCCATTTCTGAAGACCTATAGACGGGCCCAAGTAGGACTCAAACGAACAGCAAAATCCATCCATAGCGAAAGAAAAATTGCAGTCAATCCAATGCACCATGATTTGGGGGGAGCATAATATTTACTCCACCCCCATTTCTAGAAAACCCACATTCTCTTCAAATGGGGGATGGGCCCTCCTGCTTCTAAGACTAGATGCTAAGCCATTAGCCAAAATTAGAGAACTGCACCTGAGGAATGACCGCCTGATGTGATCTGCTTTGTATTGAGATGGTCCATGTAGGGAGTGTTCTACAACCTCGGCAACTTTAAGATGAGTGGACTTCAACATGGCTGGCTGGGGAATTCTGGGAGTTGAAGTCCACCCATCTTAAAGTTGCTGAGGTTGAGGAACCCTGATGTAGGGTTACCAAATATGGGTTGTAAAAATGTGGGGAACCACTGGGGCAGCTGAGGTACAAAAACCACGAACTTCTAGGGATCCACTGTATTTCTGCATTTTGGCAGCCTGGATCTGAAACCCTGCCATTGAACCATTTTGGATCTGTTCCCACAACAGGCTAAGTTAGTTTGTTTGTTCATGAGCTTCTACTGTGCAACTCAACGTTTAGGTTTTGTTAAGTCAAACCCAACCAAGACAAAAGGTCACTGCGGTCTGAACTCGGCCAGCCACTGGGTTCACCCATGGCCCTCAGCTATAGTTTGCTTACCGAATAAACCACAGTTGGCTGGGTTTGTGCAATCTCCTAAGCCAGGCTAAAGCAACAGCTGTGTTTATGCAAACTGCTTAGCCCAAACTGGGTTTGTTTGGTTTTGGTTCAGCTGGTGGGGCAAATGAAGTGAGAGTTCTGCCAGTAACGCCTTCTGCGAAGAAGATTCTCCCCCCGTTAAATAGAAATGATCTTCCCCAACAGAACACCAGCCTGTTCTGCGTAAAGACCACTAACCTTCATCTTATCTTCTCCAGAAGAGAGACAATCCTCTCCCTCAACAATCATTCCCCAACTTTGTCTCCTCATCAGCTCGGTTGCCCTCTGCGTGGTTGACTCACATGCCAAGTTGGGCCCACAAGGCTGGTGTCAGCTGTTCTTCAGGAAGATCATCTGATGAGTTGGAGGCTGCAGGGCGCTCGCCAAAGCCCTCCTCTTTCAAACGGGGGGGGGGGACACCGTGGGGAGAGGAAGCACCAATTCAGCCACAAAGCGACTGGGATGTGTGTGACAGATCATGTGAGGAACCAGGTCAGCGTTTTTGAACATGGAAGTTCCCTATGAAGATTTACACTTGAAGCTTACAATAGCGTACGGCATGTAGGGAGTCCACGCCCGTGATTCTCTTTGCTGGAGACCCTCTCCCTCAGATTAAATTGTCAGTTTTCGGCAGAGGGTCACAAGCAATGATAAAAGGGGCACCTCGAGGCTCGGGGATCCTCAGCCCATTCATGTTCCTGGCCTCCCCAACGTCGGAAAAAAAGGGGGCGAAGCTTTTATGTTATGGCGGTTGCTGAGGATGGGTTGCTGCAAGGGTGTTAGCCCGGGGCCAACCCTAAGGGCGGGTGTGGATCCTGAACAAGCCAAGCTACTCCTGGTATCTCCAAGTCTCATAAATTTCTGGGTGCAAAGCTTTGGTGATGGTGGGTGTGGGGGGTGCAAGGCTTTAAAGATACTGGAGGGCTCTCTGTTGTTTGGGTTGTGAAAGAGTCACGGTAGAGCAGTGTTTTTCCAACTTGGCGACTT